TTTCATAGCTCTTAATAGTCGTTTGAATAAATTACCAAAAATAAAAGTTTCAGCTTTTATTAACTTTTGCCCCATAGTATTAAGCTAAAACTTCAAACTCGTAGATGATAAAATCACCGAATATTTGTAAACAATATAAAACAATGAACTTCGAGATTTAAAAAAAAAAAAAAACTAATCAGAACGCACACAAAATAAAACATTTTTTGAAAGCGAAACATTTTTCAACACAAAAAAACACGATATTTTCCATCGGATCTCTTCTTAACTACGTTGAGTAGTTCAGTATGAATATTTTTTCAAACCCAAATTGGTTTTTATATAGTATTATTTTTATATAGTATTGGTTTTTATATATTTGTATTCAGGTAGTTGTATGTCTTGTTATATATAATTTTTTCTTAGATTTTTGAAAATGTAGGAAGAACAGAAATAAATAATTGAAATAAATAATTGATTTTATCTATACCCTCTTTATAAACTTTGACTGATTAAGGAAAAATCCTTAATTGTATTGATACTTTGAAAACTTTATAAAGAATATCTTTGAAATTATCTTAGCAATCTATAACTATGTTTCCGTTCATTCCGTCCTCACCAAATGCTTTCTTTCTTTTTAAAGATTTAAAAGCTCTTTTAAACTCTTCAATTGATAAACCTAGCAATAAATCAGGGGGATTAAGTGAATTATGTGTAGGTTTTAAAAAATCATTAAAGAAAATTTTTGTAGAAGGAAGTCTATCAGCCAGTTTACTTTCGACATCAGTAAAATATTAAATTCTTTTTGCTATTTTATTTGATTCACATATACATATATTGTTCGGTTCAAATATACATATATTGTTCGGTTCACATATACATAACCCAAGGGCTATTATTATTAATGTGTTTAATCTCACAATTTTTTTGGTGACAAGAAAATTTGCGTTGTACACCAAGAAGAATGTAATTTTAGTAATAAACAGATATCGTATTATTTTTATTTTGTATATTTTTATAAACATGTGCCCCATTCCTTCCTTTTTTTTCCATCCCACAGTTGACTTACTAAATTATAATTAACCAATTTATAAGTCAATTTTTGTTCTAGCTATTTTATTTTAAATCTGAAAAAATAATGTGTACTATTCAAACTTATCATTATTTACACGTAATACAATGAAAGAATTTACTTATTTTGTTCTCTTAATTTCATAAATGCTTGAATATATTTGTAAACTCCTCTTTGTTTCTTGAATAATATTTTGTTCTTTATTAAAAGTTTGTCAAAATTTAAATTTTTAAAACCTTATTCAAAATCATCATTTGAACTTTCTATTTGTGAATGAAATTAGTATTTTTAAAAATTACCTATAAATATATAAATGAGTTATTTAAAAAAAATTAATGAATTATTTATCTCATGGCATTAAATTTTGTATTCAGAACTTTTTGTTGTTGTTGTTGGAATTCATTGTAATAAGAGATTTATCTAATAAAACACACTCCATTTATTTCCATCAGTCTAATAAACATATAAAATGTCGACCATTTGGCGGAAATGCGTTCTTTATACAAAGAAATCAATTCCAAAATATTAGAGTACTTTACGAAGATGACCATATTTTAGCAACAAATTTCGAAAAAAATGAAATTAATATTATAGTTATTGGAATATACTTCTCCTCATCGCGGAACAGCCTCTCATCACTGGAAGAATACAAAAGTCAACTAGATATCGTCAAAGGTTTAATTAATAGTTACGAAGGTAACGGTAATATAATTATAGCCGGTGATTTCCAATCTTTTCCACATCAAATATATGACTTATTTGAAAGATCGAATTCCAAAAGAAACAGTTATTCTGTCCAGTTATCTGAATTTTTAAAAACAAATCAAATAGAACGTAATCAATTAGATGTAACTAAAGGTTCTGGCCCTAATTATACATATCGGCACCAGACGCTACCGAATTCGTCATATATTGATCACGTCGCCATACCAAAATATACAAATTTCCTAAATCTAAAATGCATTGTTCATTCTGAGAGCTCAAATAACTTAAGCGATCATTTACCACTTTCAATATCAGTTGAGGTTGAAGGTAAGCACATTAAATACAATACCACAATAGAAGAAGATACTAATATTCCTAGCTACGCTTGGAACGATTCTAACTTTATAAATTCATATAATGATCATTTAACCAATTGCTTTAACTATCTTAATTTTACTGATAACTATGAATACAACCTTATTCAAATCTATAAAATAATTGCTGGCAGCGCTTGAATAGCTTTTAAGGAAACTTTAAAAAGTAAAAAGCAATGTTTGTATTCAAAATCTTGGTAGACATCTGAATTAAGTCGTTCTAAAACTATTCTTTCAATTCATTTTAACAAATGGAAAGATTCTGTTTTTTTAAAAGATTTAAACTCCGTAACTTTCAATCATTACCTAATGGCTCGTAAAAGCTTTCGCAAAGCCGTCAAGCTTGCTCAAAATAATAAAATTTGCGCACAGTATACTAAAATTGAAAAGTTAAAAAATATTAGAGCATTTCATCTAAGAGCATTTCAAAAAACTTTTGAAATGCTCTTAGATGTTTAAACAAAGACATAAATTCTAGATTATTTACCATAAATAATAAAAAAGACAAAGAATCCATTACTTCAGAATTCGCAAACCACTTCGAAAAAGTACTGAATACTTCAAAAATAACACATCGTAATGAAAATCATCGGAGAATTCCCCCCGTGCACAAAACATGATGATGTTACAATAACTGAAGAAAATATAATTAGGGCTATTTTGAACCTAAAATTTAAAAAATCTCCTGACTCTTTCGGTATCTCAGCAGAATTTGAAATACGCAAATTGTGATACTTTAACAAAATGGCTCATCAAAATTTTTAATTATTCCATTAATTATGGATGGACACCATTATCAATGTCGACGTCTATTATTGTACCTTTTGTTAAATCGTATAAAAAATCTTTAGATAGCCCGAGCAATTATCGCGGTATAAGCATTATACCAATTTTTACAAAGGTTCTAAAATACCTAATCCTTTTTATATCTCCGTATATTAGAAATACTTACCCCCAAATTTGGATTCAATGTTTACTGTTCAACGCTACATGCTGAATTTCTAATTAGCGAAACAATTAAACATTACAATAGCAACGATTCACCTGTATATCTATGCTCTTTAGATGTAGAAAAAGCTTTTGATAGCTGAAACTGGGATATCCTATTTGTTAAATTATATTTCGATAAAAAATTACTACTCTGTATAGTTAACACTATCTCTTCGTTATATAACAATAGTAGTGCAACAGTCTCGTATCAAGGTTGTAAATCAAACTCCTTTCTTCTAAAGCAAGGAGTAAGATAAGGATCGATTCTTTCACCTCACCTATATAATATTTATACTGAAAGTCTTCTTGAAACTATTACAAATCAAGGTGTTGTTTGCGCATCTATATATGGTAACTTCACTGGTGTGGTGGCATATGCAGATGATACCATATTTTTAAACTCTACCCTTTCTGGTCTGAAAAAGCTGATAAAAACATGCAATATTTACAGTAATTTAAATTGTATTAAAATAAATGCCGAAAAAACTGAATTCTTGATTTCAGGTAAAGCACAAATACAAACCAATACGATAACGATATCTAGTAATAAAATAAATCTTCAGAATAAACTTAGACATCTGGGATTCACATGGGATACTAAACATTCAACTTTTGCTTCACTCAATAATACAAATGTTAATGAAAAAATTTCAAACTTTAGAGCTGTTGTTCAAACTTTTATTCAATCTGGAATCCGGTTTGCCCACCCAAGTTCTATTTCCTATATATATAAATTATTGGCAGTCCCTACCTTAACTTATAGTATGGAGATATGTGAAAATAATTCTGCTTTGATGAAAAAGCTAGATGTAATTGGAAGGGGTGCACTAAAATCGCTTTTAAATGTTTCAAAACACAGTAAGAACTATACAAACTTGCTATTTAAAATCCAGGAAATTTCAAAAAGTATTTAACAAAATAAATTAAACTTGTTTCTTCGTCTTCTTAATAATAAAACAACTTCAGGCATTATCTTTTCACAACTGAAACACCCCTTATTTAAATATTCGTTTGTTGGCGATACCCAGGACTTATGCCGTTTTCGGATGCTAAATTTTCAAAACTTAATTCAAAATAAAAAGAAGATAAAAATAGCACTTTCTAAAAGTGAAATTCCCTCCGAAGTTGAACAAACTTTGAAACATGCAATAGAGTGCTGGAATGCGAAAGAGCAAAGAGGAATTTTTTAACAAATTCTGGAGGAAAAAATTCTTAAGTGAAAATCACGAGAAATAACTTTCTTATTTTTCTTTTTTACCTTGTAAATTACATTGGGTGTTAAATAAATGAAATAATGGTGATAACTTGAGCATAAAAACCTTTTTTCATTTTTGCTTAAGCGAGTTTTTTGAAATTTCTTTGAACTCTTTTTGAATTTTTTATATAGGACTTTAATGGACTTTTTTTATTTTTATTTTTGTTATTTAGGTGCCCCAAGAAGACCTAACGGCCTTGCCACTGAACACCATGGAAGTGTATTTAACCAGGATGTTCACGCCTCCTTTTTTATACCGTGATGCGAAAATATGTCCAGAACTCGTTTTGAGCCTGGAATCTCCTGCTTTTAAAGCAAGCGCTCTAACCACTGCGCCACGGCCATAACTTCAAATTTACCGGAGAAAAATCAAATTTAGCCGAGAAGTTTTTGTTATATATTCTTTATATATATATATATATATATATATATATATATATATATATATATATATATATATGTATATATATATATATATATATATATATATATATATATATATATATATATATATATATATATATATATATATATATTCTTTTATTTATTTTTATTATATATTCTTTTTGTTGATGTTATTAAACTATCATTATCATTACTATTATTATCATTATTATTATTGTTGTTGTTGTTGTTGCTGTTGTTGTTATTGTTGTTGTTGCTGTTGTTGTTGTTACTGTTGTTGTTGTTGTTGTTGTTGTTGCTGTTGTTATTTTAAACAAATTCACTTCGAACAAGGCTAATTACAACAATTATGTTGAAAGTTAACAGAAAGTCAAGGTTAAAGTTTAAGAACAAGAAAGCACTTGACAGAAAATTTAAAAAACTGCAAATCGTATGAAAACATGATGGAAGAATATACCAAAGTAAAGATTTTCGGAAAAACTAGATGAATGTAAGTTTAAATTACAAACTTTAAATTTCGACGTCACTAGATAAATATAAGTTTTAAGTGGATCATTAGGAACTGTCCATTATTTACGCAATTTTATCTAATAATCAATACTAACTAATAAACAAAACAAATAAGATTAAAAGTTTCCCTCGCAGAGTCTTTAATCAAACTTAAACTTAAAAAAACTTAAAAAAGTTCTTTTAGTTCAATAAAAATCGCTGCTCAAAAGAGCAAATGATCTCCTACATCTATTTTTTAAATAAACTTCATGTTTTGTAATTTAAGGACTATTCCTTAGTGACAGCCACTAAAAGTGGTTAGCTAATTACTAGCCACTATATCACATGTTAGAAAGTTATAGGATGGCCACTTATAACGGATTCCACTAATGGTCTACTTAGTAACCTACGAGCAAAATCAAAATGCATATTTAGGTTCACTGCAATCTTAGGTTCACAACAAAAATGTTTTTTGTAAGCGTCTTTTTTTGTTTTTTTTTTTGTTTTTTTTTGTATAAAGTTGAAAATGTACAAAGAAAATGAAATTTATAAAGAATACAAAGGAATATACAAAGTTGAAAGTTCTTTAAAGTAAATTTTAAAATATGCTGATTAAAGTTTTATTAAATATTTAAAAAAAAAAAATATATAATGAAAAATTATAATTCATTTTTCAAGAATTTACACTCATTATGCATATCACGTGAATTTACATTATTTATGCGTACCACGTGAATATACACTCTTTATGCTTACCAATGACAGAATAGTTAATATTATTTAAATTTTTTTGTCGTTTATTAAAAAACATTCTCTCCGCCTTTTATAAATATTTTTTTTAGAAATTCTTACTCGTGGGTATTACTGTTTTATTTAGTGATATTAAAGAGAGAGGAACTTAAAATTAGGATTTAAAAAAATCATTTGTTTAAATCAGTGTGTCATTTATTATTATTATTATCATTATTATTATCATTTTATTTTATTTGTTATTTAGGTGTCCCAAAAAGTCTTAACGGTCTTATCACAGAGCACCGCGGAAGTGCATAATGAGACGCGAAATAGTTCCAAAGCTTGTTTCGAACCTGGATCTTCTGCTTATAAAGCAAGCGCTCTAACCACTGCACCACGGCCACACGATATTTACACTCGACACATTTGTCGGCCGCCGACACACCACGACCATACCACATTTACATTCGAATGTGCATTATGTACTAAATACCCAAACTTGTTTATTTAAACCAGGCATCAATTACTCTAGTATTCATAATAAGAGCGTATTTAGCTTATATTGGAAGCTTCTTTATATTAACTAAGATTTTTTAAACTTCATTAAATTTTTTTTTTTAATTTTTTTGCGTAAGGAAATTGTTTCACTAAATTATATATTAATCAAACCATTTTCATTTGGGTGAAGTTTATATATGGAACAATGACGGGTCCAGGATTTTTTGGTTGAGGAATGAGGGGGGGGGGGAGAGGAGATGTTGAAATATTTTTGTACTATGAATCACATTTGTGTCTCCTAAAAAAAAAAAGTATTCCATTTCTAAAATAATTTAGGGCTTTCAGATTTTGGTGGGGGGAGGGATGCATAACGCCAATCCGTCACTGATATTAAACTATCTCTAGAAATTATAATATATCTAGATATAGGTCCATACATTATTATGAATAGATTTTCAATGATATACAAACAGGTAGATATTATTTCTATGTATATCCAATTAATAAAAATGAAATATAATTTATATCAAGTTTGTTACTAACAAATAAATCCGTAACGAAAATATTGATAATGTGAAAAGCTTTTTATATTTTAATCACCAAATTTTTCTCATTATCTTTCGAATATTGTAAATCATCGTGTTGTAAGAAAAGAATTGTTCTCTCTTTCTACTAATTTATTCAAATTTATAGACAAAAACTATACTTGTTAAAAAAAATTTTTTTAAGAAAAGTACCAGATTGTTTCTCTAACTTAATAAAAAATTTCATTAAAGTTAAAACAATGGTTCATTAAAAACACACAACAACAAACATATTTTTTATATTTACATAATTTATATAAATACATTGTTCAATATATATTTTATTGTAAAACTATTCACAAAAATATTTGGTTAATTTTAGCCCCCTAAAAAATTAACGAAACCCCGTGACTTTGGAATCTGATTTGTTTTGACCTTCTGCTTTCAAAATGTCTGCAATGTATTTTTTGTCAAGTTTTTTAAGAATTTTAATTTTTTTTTTAGTAAAATAGAAGTAAAAGCCGTATGATAAATTTTATTTTCGAAACAAAATTTACGTGTAGTAAGTCTTTCAAAGTTTAAGTTATCTACAGTTAAATAATTTATAAATCTAAGCAAAAATCGTTGATCTATACTTTTGAAGGCTTTCTTGAGTGCACTTTCTTTTCTTAAAGTTTGAGGGCTTTCTTGAGTGCACTTTCTTTTCTTAAAGTTTGAGGGCTTTCTTGAGTGCACTTTCTTTTCTTAAAGTTTGGTATATAAAAAAAAAAAAGTTTGCTCAAACGCCACAAGTTTCTGGTTAAAAAGAGTTATCAAGGGTAAACATAACGGTAACAAAAAAAAAAAAAAACCGTTAAAAGTGTTTTTTGCAATCAGTGGTATGCCAGAATATGAAGAGCTTTTTTATTTTTTTTCCCCTAAACTTATCTTTCGATAAAATAACTAATTTGTTCTTATTATTTTAATGTTAAATAAAGAAATATTTACCTATCAATTTCTAAAACCTTTAAAATATTCAAATGATTTAAAATAAAATTGTTTCGTTTGATTGTTTGTTTTTTAAAAAGGAGAAACTGTTTAACAGACAGATCAAAGAATAACAATCTACAAATCTTTTTATATATAATGAGTCTATATATAAAGGTTATAAACCATAGCAAACGTAGGTTCAAATACATTAATCAATTTTATACCTTTTATTAAATTTTTAGCATGTTTGTATTTATTTCTAGCGTACACACCCGATACAACTTAAAAAGACATTTAACTCACAAAACATGCTTGCAGTATCGTATACTATACTATTCTAAAAGAATATTTTGAAAGCTACATGTTTTTTAAGTTGTGTAAGGTGTGTACTTGCCCGTAAGATATTTGCATTGTTGATGAAATAATGAATTAGTTCAAAATTTGTTAGAAACTGTGGGTTCACGTTCATGTGCGAACGCGCAGTTTATAACAACATAATTGTTTGATAGTAATTGACTCAAAATATTTAAATTTGGTTAACAAGAATAAATTTTTATCAACGAGAATTCCATACTTGTTTTTTAATAAACTTATTGTTTATTATTAATTATAACGTTCAAGGTAAAATCACGAAAATTTAAAATAAAGGTTTTCTTATTTTGAATTATTATAAAATACTGTCAAACTCATTTTCTTAACGTTAATTAAGAGTTTGTAGGAGATTTATCTACTTCAACCTGATTGTTTACTTAATATAGTTTAAGAACGAAATAAATTTGTATCCTTTTCAGTATTTATTTTCGTTTTTGATATGCATTTCAGTATTACTAGCTGAACTCCGAATTTTTGTTTTTGTTTTAGATTCTTGAATACTTGAAAAATTAATTAATTCTGAACATATTTCAATGTCACGCTAAAAATAAAAGTTGTTTTTGTTTTTATAATTAATTATCATTATATACTTATTTATTCTTATTTTTGAAAATAAACTTTGACGTCAGTTTGTTTTTACAACCTAAAAGTCGGTTTTGTTCTTACAACTTTGACGTCGGTTTTGTTCTTAAAACAGTTTAATCAAATTTATAAAACTTATAATTAATATTTTATAAAATAATTGTAATATATAATATATTTAATTTTTTTGTAACAGCAAAAGCATATAAAAACAATTATTGTAATCACAAAAAAATTTACAGAAGATTTCGTTTTATTGTAAAAAACTAATTAGGAAGAGCTTAATAATATATTTCGATCTTTTTATCAAAAGCTAATTACAAAAGACTAAAAAATATATTTTGATCGAATATATTGGTAAGAAAACAAAATATCAATCACTAGTTATTTGTAGCTGCAAAAAAAAAAAAATTTAAAGACGCAGTAACTATATTTAAAAGAAATGTGAAAGTTGATAAATAAAGTTTTTCAAATTTCAAGTAGTTTGATTAGAAGTAGGTGACGTTAAATTAAAAAATAGTTAGATACCAATTGATATTTATGCGCCATTTTAAAATATGTTTAGAAAAATAAAACACAATATATAATTAGTACGTTCTTTTAGTTTGTAAAAATAAACATTTCAATTATTGTTTTGTAAATTATTATTATTTATTAATTTTTATTTTTATGTACGTTTTGCACTATTTAAAAATAAATTAATTTGAATGGTTACTAATATTCTTACTGTGATTTGCAAAGTCATGCTAAGAAAAGTGTTATTAGTTGATTTGTGATTTGTGGAACCAATCTTCAAGCAGCAAACCGTACTCTTCGTGGTTATCCGCTTTAAGCATTTTTATTTTAAATAATCCGCTTTAAGCATTTCTATAATAAATCTAAAACTATTGGTATAAGATTTATTTTACCCACTTTGTCTTCTAGAGACAGCATAAAGTTTTAGGTTCAGTTTATATTCAAAGGGGGCATAAATAAAGGTATAATAATTTTCAAAATTTTAAATAAAGTTATTTGTTATTACAAGAAGAGTATTTTATTTTGTTAAAGTGAAGGAAAAAACTTTTTTTGTTGATCTTACAATACTTATCTTAGCAACTGTTGTTAACATTATTTATACTTTTGTTTAATATTAAAATAATTATTTTTTTATGTTTAAAAGTTTAAACAAGAATGGGTTTATATTTAGAAAACCATTTTGAATCTTTGGACCATATTTTTAAGTTTATATTGTTGCTGTTGTTTTTTTTTTTTTATCATTATTATTATTGTTATTATTATTATTATTATTTTGTGTGTGTGTTTTTTACATTGAATATTTTTGTATTTTTATATTGAATATTTATGTATTTTTATATGAATATTTATGCTTTTGTCGGAGTTTTTCTTTATATTTTTAACCAGTTTTTAATAATTTTTTTTTTAATTGTTTTAGTTTACTTTAAACTTCAAAAATAGCATAAAAAGGTTTTACTAAACTATCTTAATTTATATACCTCTCTAAAAGAAACATGGCAACTGCAGTTATAAACACAGTTGTCATATAATATAAAATATTAATGTATTTTAAAAATAAGTAATTTTATTACTAATTATTTTATTAAAAAATTTTATTTTAATAAAATCTGCGATGCTCCTCTATCCTAGAGGGTTGTTCAATAAATAAGTAAAAAGGTGTTGGTTATTTATTTATAAATTTCCATTGACATTTACTAAAACAAACACCATTAGTTCTTTTATTTCAGACAATGCCTTGATGTTGATTTATTCGGAAGTTTAAAATTGGCCGTTTTTATCTAATATTTTTGTAAAACAAATAATAATAGCTTCGTAAAACAAGGAAAAGAAACAGAACGTTAATATATGCACAAATAAATCTATAATACAGTCATTTACAAGTTTGCTTAAAATCTTAAACAGAGTAATAGATTTGAGTTGTTTCATTTGTTAGATTCCTTAACAGAGTAAAAAAATAAAATGTCCAGTGACGAGATTGATATCAATCACTTTATTGATGTCTCTATTGATGATATAGTAGAAAAAGAAAAAAGAAAATCAAACAAACGGGCTTTAAAAAACATATTTGCGAAAAATAAATACGCTCAAATTGAAGATAAAGAGTCGGTTCAATCTTTGAAGGGACATTTAGAAGATATAAAAAACACGAGTACAGTTATAGCGCACAACCAAGAAAATGATAGAGCAAATTGTCGTCGGGATGCTGTATCCGAAAACCATAGTGAAGAACGGCAGCTCGTCAAACAAACTTTAAAAAATGTTGTAAGAGTTTCAAAAGTTAACGAATACGTATTACCGTAGCAAATAAAATGTCCTTATTTATGGGGTAATTAAATGGAAAGAGTTTGAAACACGCATCAATTTTTTGAATTTAGAGTTTTTTAAACAAAACATGCAGATTTTTGGTATAAAGAGAAACAAACTAAATAATAACAGACAATGTTCAAATTTTACCTGATGATTTCAAAAACGACTTTATTGATTATTTATTATACAAAATTAAAAATACATTTTTTGACACCTTTTTATTTACTGAAGTAAAAAGAAGTCTGTCTATTTTTTTTTTTTTTTCCTCTGTTTATTTTATTTTTCTCTTTTAATGTAATCTAATCTAATATCTAATCTTTTAATGTAACCTGTAGCAATTTCGATACTTGAAAAATATTTGTTGCAACATGTATATACATTATTTTTTTTTAATTTTGAAAGCTTTAAAATATCAATTATTTTTTTACGTATATTTTTTATCTGAGTAAAAAAACTATACTTAGAATAAAAAGTAAACTGAAAAATTGAAAATAATAAAATAGCAAATAACAATAGTTATTTTTATTATAAGGTAAAAACTAAACTGTATTTTTATTTATTATTTATTAATATTTTGTGCGTATAATTTGAACAAATTATGTAAATTTAGTATTTAAAAAAATTGTCTAGTTAAACGCATATGCATTATTAATGAACAGACAAAAAAATAATTGAACCGTCAAAAGGCTGTTATAAAACGGCATTTAAATGTTATAAAATTTATTTAATGCATTTTACATTATATAAATACAGATTAACTAAAATATTTGTTTTCCGTTGTGACGTAACCACGCAAGTTGTTTGTTCTCATAAATTCTCCTATTATAAAAAATAGGTCCTAGTAAAACAAAACCTTACTTTAATATTTTTTTCTAACTTTTCATTTATATTTTTCTAATTTTTCTTTTATACTTGTATCAGATAAACATGAATAGTTCGAGATTATTAAAATTAGTTTTTAAAATCTTTTAATCTAGAAATTTATTTCAAGAGAGTTTTGATATAAATTCAATTCATTTGAACTCAATATAAAAGATTCAATTGATTCTTTTTTGGTTGTAAGTATATAAATTTATACAATCAGAGTAAAATTAAAAAAATCTTAAATTCAAAAGCATTTATACAAATAACAAAAGCTTTTCTAAGCCAGTCTGACAGTCTTTCATATTGTTAGTTGTAAGCAAGCTGGTTTGAAGAAGGGCCATATTAAATTGCATACAAACCTATATTAAATATTATACATTCATATATATATATATATATATATATATATATATATATATATATATATATATATATATATATATATATATATATATATATATATATACACATATATATATGCATATATACATATCCATATACATATATATATATATATATATATATATATATATATATATATATATATATATATATATATATATATATATATATATATATATATATGCATATAATATTCAATTATAAAGTATAATGATGACAAAGTGAATCAAAAAAATCCATCAATATATATGTTTGAGAACACGTTGGATAAAATATTGGAGATGTTTTATTAAATGTTGCAATAAGATATCTCAGAGCCAATGGGTCTTCAAATAACCAGATTTAAATTTAGTTTCAAACACTGCCTTTAACTTTTATGACGTTAAATGTTTGTTTTGTATTATGGTCATTCTTTTATACTTAATAAAACATTTTAATATTAATACAACAAAAACACCCTCCTGTAACCCGTAATTTAGTAAATAAAAAAAAGGAACAAACGCTTTAAAATTATAAAATAATGAAGCGAAATTTTTTTCCTGTCTATAAAGACTAACATCTTTTTTTATAAGCTAGTTGTTTTTAAACCACTTTACCTCAAGCAAATAAAAAATTTATGTAATTTTATTATTATTAAATGATAAGTGTAATTGTTTACCGTTTGTTTAATCTATTAATCAAGACTATTAAAATACAAGATATACAACAAAAAATTTTTTTAGTCTAAAGATGAATGCTATAATATACAAATGAGTCTAATTCAGCGAAGCAGCAGTGGTGCAGTGGTAGCGCACTTGCCTCAGAAAAAAAGGATCTATGGTTCAAACCCCACCTCTAGGCAAGTTTTGCGACATAGGTTAGAAAGGAGGTGTGAACTTCCAATTAAATGCCTATTCGCAGTGCTCTGTGAGACCTTAAAGACTGTGTGCTCTGTGAGACCTTAAGGACTCTGTGAGACCTTAAGGACTTCTGTGCTCTGTGAGACCTTAAGGACTTCTTAGGGCACCTAAATAAATAAAAAATAAAAAAAAAATAATAATAATTCTTAAATGTAAGAAACTTCGGATCAAAATGAAGAATTTGGGGCACATCCTAAATTCTTAATTTTGATCCAACTTAACAAAATTTTACTTCTAAAGGTGTTTAAAAAATACACTCCATTAATGCACAAACCATAGTAAACTTAATAACGAAATGTTAAAATTGAAATATAGAACAACGATTTCTTTTTACTCCAACATATTGTTTATTTTAATCTTTCCTAAAATAAATTTAAATAAATAGTATTTCAACAGAATTATTTAAAAAATTATTAACGGCACATCATAAATCTTTTAATTGTTTTCACTTTAAAAGAATGAGCATTATTGTTCCAATTTTAATAAAGCGAGTTAACTAATTAGAAAAATAATTTTTGCAAAGATATATGCATTTAAAATTTTTAATCTTCTATGTCCACGAACCTTAACTGCTTCATATCCTTTTGGTAAAAGTCAACAAATGCAAGCATTTAAATTATTTGAATTTTTTTTTTTTTTGAAAATCCAACTATATTTGATTTTTTCTCCTCGTTTTTTAGTTTGAAAAAAAAACAAAAACCATATTATTAGTTTCTTTATTATCTATAAAAACAACTTGACCCACCTTTAAAGACTTTACAGGAAATAAAACGTGTTTCAATTTAATTAAAGTTTAATCTGTTTTGTTCTGTAGTAAAGAAGACTACAATTTCTACACAATTTAACATATTATTTATTTCTATTATTATTTAACTTATGATCTATTTTTCATTATCGGTAATTGTACGTTTTGGTTATCAATTTCTTTCTCTTTTCTAATTCTTTTTAACTTTCTACAAATATTTATGTGACTTTTTATGTGTAAGTAACTTTTCATAAATTTTTTAAACATTTTTTAATACATTCACATTATGATTTCCATAACTTTTTTATGCTTTCCATACTTATTTTTAAGCACTTTGCCTTAATAACAATATATATTTATAATAAGATTAATAAAAAAACTTTTACCATTTTATAAGTTTTGCCGCTTTACACAGGTTTCAATATTTAAGCTCCAAAATTTAAAGAGATGAAAAAATAATACCACAGAATTTTTCAAAAACTTACCAAAACTGATTACTTTAACATAAATTAGTTTAACATGAATTGCTTTAACATAAATTACTTTAACATAAATTAGCGTCAAAAAATTAGTACAAAAGCTAACAAGTTTGCAAAAAAAGATTTTAGATTTCATTTATAAAACAACCTTTAAAAAATAAAGTTAGATCTTCAATTTTAAAGAATTTTTTAAGAGATATTACAAAATCTTCCAGTAAAAAAGATTTTGTTTGAAATAATTTTGTATAAATGCAAATAATTTTTAGAAGAATATATGCATTTAAAAATATCTAATGTTAGAAAGAATTGAAATCTATAGTTAGTACATGAGAGCTTTGAGCCATTTTTATCTTGTGTCATTCCAGTATATAAAAATGGCTCAAAGCTCTCATCTAATAACTATAAACCAATTTCAATTTTTTCTAACATTAGCAATCTCCTTGAAAAATTAATGTACTCTAGATTATACTCATTTTTGAATTCCTTTAATTCCTTTAATTTTTGAATTCCTTTAAATGAATTTAAGTTTGGATTTCGATCAAAACACTCTACTTTTTACGCTTTAATAAGTATAACTGAAAAAATAATATTTCAGTATAACTGAAAAAATTTCGTAGGTGGTGTTTTTATCGACTTACAAAAAGCGCTAGATACCGTTAATCATACTATTTTAATTTCTAAACTTGAACATTATTGCAATTCGATGAGTTGCTTGTAACTGGTTTCAATCTTATCTTTCAAATTGAAAGCAGTTTGTTAGCATTAATGGTTACAAATCAAATAACAAACATATAGTTTGTGATGTTCCCCAGGGTTCTGTTCTTGGCTCATTATTATTTTTGATTTATATTAATGATCTAAATAACTCTGTCCACTTTTCATCAGTACATCTGTTTACTGATGGTACTAATATCTTGCATATTAATAATTCTCATTATTCCTTGTGTTAGAATATAAACTTAGGCCTAAAAGGTTTAGTTCACAGGCTAAATGAAAATTTAATTTTTCTGAACTTGGAAAAAACTGAACTAATATTTTCTTCATCTTCAAGACAAAAAATTTTATACAAAAATCATGTAACTAAACTTAAAATTAATAAGAGACGTTTATATCCATACTTTGTTAAATATCTTGAAATTTTTATAGGTTCGAACCTCTCTTGGAATTTCATATAGATGCACTTCGTAAAATACTTAATCGAGCTAACGGAATGCTTTCAATTATTCACCATTATGCTGATAAAACTGCGCTTAAGAATCTGTATTTTGCACTTTTTTAGTATCATCTTAACTACTGTTGTCAGGTTTGGGGACAAATTGGCAACTGTAA